AATCCCCATCTCTTAACTGTATGTAACTACTGTAAGTACATTTACTCATATACTGTACTTAAGTAAAAAATGTCGGTACAAGTACTTTACCTGAGTATTTTTTATCTAATTTATATTTTTACTTCACTACATTTTGTAAGCAAATACTTTTTTACACCACTGCCTTTATTTTGCATAACGAGTAATTTTACTTTCAGTACTTTTATTTCGTTTTTTCATTGCTAGTACTTACACACACACACACACACACACACACACACACACAGCATTACTACTTTTACTTGAGTTAATAATCGCAGCACTTCTTCTATCTCTGCCTGATGCACATGTAATTACAGTTGTGCTTGAGCCTTTATATTCCCATGAACCCCATCTTTGTGCTCTAGGCCGCAGTGACCATCCAGGACAGCTGCTTCGAGGTCCAGAGGCTCCTCCTCCAGGAGACGGGGCGCCCCTCCCCCCGAGCCCAGCGAATGCACCTTCCCAGCATCCGGGGCAACGCCCTGCAGGAACAGGAGAAGCAGCGGAACCTGGAGAAGAGGAAAGAAGAAGTGGTGGCGGCTCGGCGGCTCCAGGACCGGCTGCGCCAGGATAAGGATCGCTGGGAGAGGGAGTGCCAGGCCAAGGAGAGCCAGCAGGGGGAGCAGGAGAGCAGGCTGGAGGAGCGGGAGAGGCAGTGCCACCTGGAGACGGAGAGGCTAAGCGCGAGAGGGGAGAGCTGGACGAGCAGCTGGAGGAGTACCAGCAGAGTCTGGAGCGGCTCAGGGAGGGCCAGAGGAGCGTGGAGAGGGAGAGGGAGCGCCTGGACCACCAGCAGACCCTGCTGCAGACCTGGAGGCACAGCCGGCAGAGCAGCCTGCCCACTGTCACCCCCCACATGGTCATCCCTCTGGATGGGACGCAGGTAAGGAGGATGCACAACTCACTACTGTTTCCTCTGTCTATAGACTTTGATATAACTTCTCATGTTTAATCGGGGCGATGATCAAGGGCTTAGAATAATTCTGTATAAAGCAGGGTAGTCCAAACATTTGGCTGGGCCACTCACTGGAGGTTAGGTTTATCAACCAATCAATCTAAGTTTATTTATTAGCCCAATATCACACATTTTATAGTTTGTAAAGAAGATGAATACAACACCCTCTGTCCTCAGGCCCTCACCCTCAGGATTATCAAAGACCCCCATCACCCCAGCAACAAACTGTTCTGTCTGCTGCCATCTGGCAGGCGGTACCGCAGCATCAGGACTAAAACCACCAGACTCAGTATTAAACACCTGAGATTGCACTATTTTTGTTTTTATTGTTTTTGTTTATGTTTATTGTTTGTTGAGGAACCTGCGATCTAAGTGTAGGGGAAATAGGAAGGGTTTATTTCAAGCTTTTTGCAGATAAGTTATTGGGCTTTTATTATTTCATTGTACTTTAAGAATTTGCTGTGGGCCAATTAAAATGGACCACGGGCCGCACTTTGGACACCCCTGGTCCAAAGCTCTTGACCCTGACACAAGTGTGCGGTAGATACGCAGAGTTTATGGAGTATTTCTGAAGTCATTGACTAGAAGCTTTTCTCACACAGCTTTCAGCCTGAGTTACGCTGCTTCACACACTTACACACACAGCTCAATCCCCTCTTGATGTACGACCTGCGATAATGAGAGCAATTTCAGCATCATTTGTCTTAGTGCTCCTGCAGGTCCACTCACCCATAAACATCTTAATGATTGATGATAAGTAAACCGTTGCAAATAAGAGCTCCGACAAAATAATTAAAACTAGAGGCACGCAGCCGAGTATCCAATCAATCGTGTTGGAAAGGACTTCAATTATCAACGCTTTGTTTGAAAAACACTATGGTGAAATGCCCCCCCGCAGCAGGAAAGCAGGGAGGATAAAGGGTGCACTGTTCCCCGTGCCCTTTAAGTCTCAATGCACCTCATGTGGACAAGCAATACAGCACACACACCTCTGCGCTGCTTTGTGCTGCTCCATTCAGCAGGTGTGAGCGTTCAAAAGACGCACACAGAGAGCACTCCAACGGACAGACAAATGAGCTGACTCGTGTTACAATATTCCCTCTCTGCCTCATTAATTTACACACCACCCTGGGCTTTTTTAACAGGCTGGATGAGATGAGGCTCTCTTGGCTCTGGGCGGACCTTTTTTTTATTTCAATTCATCTATTTTAGTCGGTGTGGAGGCTGCAGTGGTCTGAAAAAGGCGTGCAGAGTCCTAATGTTCCCCTGCTAATGTTTTAGCCAGAGGCAGCAGTTCACAGGGTCAGACACAGATCGAATGACGCACGCACACACACACACACACTGTTCTCAGGTCGTTTCTAATTAGCCGTGCTGCCTCGGCTTTGCAGAGAAAAGGAGGGCACATTAATGTGAAGATGAGACAGTGGACAGGGGTATTAGGAGAGGACAGGTGGAGAGATGCAGCACGAATACCTTTTCCTATGCAATAAGGGGTCCACACAAATGAATCTCCATTTTTTCCACTTATTGTACATCAAGTGTATGTGACCATTTATTACTCCAGAGCTTAAGAATTCAATCTCTGAGAGTTTTGATTTACACTGTGTATTAATATTATTTATTTGGGATCCGACAGGTTGAATTTTTTTTAGGTGTAGAAACTATCCAATCATCATTCTTTCTTAAAAAGCTCTCCTTCTGAATGTGTTTTCACTCTGCGTTCTTGATTTCTTCGCCCCCTCCTCCAGGAATCGACCCAGTCCGGAGACCTGGCCGGTAACGGCTCCGTGTTTGTGAATGAGGCCGCCTTCACAAGCTCTGCCATCAACAACCGCAAAGGCCGCCACAAAAGAGATGACCCCAGCGCTCACAACTGTCTCAACTCCCTGCTGGCAAAATCCAACAGCAGACCGCCCCCCGGAGCAAAGACGCTCCACAGCCCACACTCAGACCCCCAGGGATGGATGACAGGGACAGGGTACCTGTACAGCCCTGCAGGGAGGCTGGAGCTGCAGCACAGCGCCAGAGGTGAGGAGGTCATCTGTTATCTGATATAGAGGACGTTTAGAGCTAATCCCAAATTAAATGGCCATTACCCGGCTCATGGGGAGCCATATTTAAAAGTGTTGTTGTCTCCTGCTTCTAATACATCCTATGTTGGATGGCTAGGATCTCTTTAAGTAAAGCAGTGTCTAAGCAGGTGTCCGAAGTCTATAAGTTAAATGTTTTGACCTCTAAATGTCTCAGATTGTCTCATTTAAATGCATTTTTGAGGCACAAAGAGGTCAAACTGTCAATTTGTTATCTAAACAGCAAAGAGTAAAAAAAGCCTTATATTGAGCATTATTTAACCCCTTAGACCCCTTGTGACGCATTTATCGGGTCTCTACCACAGGCAGAGAAACACTGAAATAGCTAACACTTAATAAAAGCAAATCCTCAAGTTAGTTGCTGTAACTAAAGAGAATTTAAAAGTTTCTGCTTGATGAAGTACTTAACAATAATCAAGATATTCTTTCTCGTCATTCAAACTGCTTATTAGGTTTTTGAGCACATATTAACTACATTAATTTCCATATTATGTTTTCAGATATCATCTTACAAGGTACGCAAAAACTCCCGCTAAACACACACACACACACACACACACACACACACACACACACACACACACACACACACACACACACGTACATACTCTGCTCTCTATCCCTGGTGAGGCCTTGTCTGTCCTCCTCTCAGTTAATCAGTGCCTCCTTAAAAATAAACCTCCCTCCTCACCACCTCCACCTGCAGCAGCAGTGAGCCAGGCCCCCACCTGCCAAAGGGAAAGAAAATCAATGGTTCCTCTATCTATCGACTGGCAGGGCAGACAACAGCATGTGAATCACAGTTCAGAGGCGATGGCGGACTGATTGGGACATCGATCTAAAAAAATCTTTATAAAACTCATTACAGCATGACTTGTCATCGCATCAGGAGAAGGGGGGAGGGAAATGAGAGATGCGTATTCATCTGCGTTTCACTCGCAAGGTGTCGGATACATTCTGACGTTTACGCCGTCCCCGTTCCTAATCCATTCATGCAACACGCTCATTCTCATTTCCACAGGAAAATTACAGGTTACACGTGTCGTGTTGCTCTTTTCTAATAAACAGGGTCAGAGTTAAGTGCGGCTGATGGGAGTTGCTGGTTTTGTTTAGAGGCTACAGCAGGCAGCACAATCTCTTCCTCATTGATCAGCTTATTAACCTTTCCTCGTTATTGAGCGCTCACAACAGCCCCAGTGAAACCTGAGTCACTCATTAACAAGCCTGGGGTGGAACCTTGGCAGCCATCTACCACCAGGGCGCGTTCCAGCTGACATCTACCCACAATGCATTCCTCAGTGGGTCCCATGAGGACCTGCAATTAGACCTGTCACCATCATGAATATTAAGTTGACACTTGATTGTCACACAAATAGTTGTGGTTAACAATTTAAAAGCCTCTTTTTTGTGTGCCACACAGTGCTTTTGTGTTTGACTTGACAACTAGACCTCAATCTGTGTAGGACATTTCAACTGCTGCACATCAAATTATGCGTTCGTTGCCAAAAGAGTATCAATTAATCTTTACATTTTTCGGAATCCGTGTTGCACCTGCCGCTGTGCTGCACAGTTTTATTTCTAATAACTTATTTCTAATAACTAACCTTGTGCATTGGTAGAAGATTGCGTGATTTTTCTTTTTCAAGAACTCAAAAATGAATCAGGGATACACACTTTGTTTTGCCTCCAACTGATACTCACTTATATTTACACGTAACTGTTATTTTGCTCTTAGCATGATCACCGTCACTCTTTTTCTCACATTCTTTTCCACACACTAGCTAAACTCACACTACACACTAAGCTTTTTATAACACCATGTTTCCATCTGAACATTTTAATGAGATGAATCAAATTAATACATTTGTTGAAAGCTACAACACTTGCATAACTAACCTCTGAGCTCTCATACACAGTCAGGGACGCCCTGGCCGACTTGGGGCCCCAAGCGACATTGTATTTCGTTCAGTATGCGTTTACAGGTGAATACGTCTGCATTTCCTGCCAAATACTAGCCTCAAAAAGATTA